TCCCATTTGACTGAGGTGTTTCCTTTCTTGATATCTTCCCAAAAGAATTAAAAGTATTGTAGCACAGTGGTATATGCACACATATGTTTATAGTGGCAAAATTTGTAATGCCTACATCTTGAATACAACCCAAATGCCCATTAATTGATGAATGGATAATAAAGATATGTCTTTTTAATACAATGGAGTACTACTCAGCCATAAAGAAAGATAAACGTGAGACGTTTTTAGCTAAATGGATACACCTTGAGACCATACTCTTAAGTGAAAAAAATCGGACACATCTCGTAAATATCACATTGTCTCTCTGGTGTGAGAAGCTGAACAAAAACCAGAATGTATAATAGATATTGTGAAATAGGAAGTAATTGTTCAAAGGGAAGGGGGAATTAGGGGTAAAGGAAGGGAAGTGGAAAAAAAAACAAGAAAAAATGATAAAATGGAAACAAAGCTTTCTAAATAAGGAGAGAAAGATTGAGGGGAATGGGAAAAAAGAGGAACTAAGATTTATCATGTGCAGACACAAATTCCATATGATGGATGTGATCATTATGCATTTCTAAATTGTACTAATAAACTAAATTAAAATAAAATATTAAAATGTAGTATCTATATATAATGGAATTAGTGCTCTGCCATAAAGAATGACAAATTTAAAACATTTTTAGCAAAATAAATGCATCTGGAAAATATGTTGAGTGAAATAAATCAGGCACTGCCTAAAGTATCATATGTTATCTCTTATTTGAGTAAGTCAAATTACAACCAAAGAAAATGATACAGGATGGATAGAAAGGAACAAGGGGATGGATCTCTTGTAATAGGAAAATGGTCCAAGACAGCAAGGGTGAGGGGTGAGAAGCAGGGGAAAGGGAAATTAGAAGAATAAAGATATGCCATACAGCGGAACCTAATAACCCCAATTAATGTAAACATTATATACTATAATATTATAGTAAGCTAAATTAGCTAGAAATTAATATACAGTCAGAGAGGGACGGGGCTCTCAAGGAGGTCAGCCAAGAAATAAAAACATCAGAATTGTGGCTGGAGATGCATCTGAAGAATACCAATCCTCAAGATAAAGATATAATGACCAGGCCTATATACCTCCCTAAGGGATAAGCAGTAACTTGGAATTATACCATAATTAGCCCCACCTGGTCCAGGAGGTCCTGATTTGCAAGCGTCAACCAGGTGGGTGACCAGAGCCTCTGGACCCATTCCTTCCCAAAAATGCTTTTGTTCTTTTCATGTACCTTTGTTACATGACACACTTTCCTATTGGACCAACACTGGCTAGCCAGATACTCTTGTATTGCTATAGGTTGAGTGTAGTTTGACCCATGTTGTACCCACATTGTGACTTTGATGTATAAATTACCCCTGACAAAGGGCCTTGGTGGCAACCCATTTCCAACTCCCCCCCCTATCTTTCAGGATCTATATCTCAATAAACCTCTCCTACTCTTAACCTCCTTTGTCCTTTGGAATTCATTCTTCAATTTGAGAGGACATGAATATATGTGGGCATATCTGACATCTACCAGGTTGGGAATTATATTTTTTCCTATATCAATAACATGAACTAAGACAAACAATATTAACAAGAATGAAAACTGGGATAGAGGAACTGGAGGAGAAGAGGGAAGGGGAAAAGGGAAAGTGATTTTAAAAAAAGGAAACATGATGTAATATGTACAGGTAATCATTTGCCAAGAAAACTGTAGTCTATATGAACTATAAATATGTGCAAATAAAATAAAAAAGAAATATCTCCAGCTCTTCCAGTACCCTATAACCAGGACCAAAGACACCAGATCTACTTCAAGCCCAGATATACAGTGGTGAGCAGTAGTAGTTACCTGTTTCCTGAAGCGTTCCTTTTCCTGGGTTCAGAGACTCAGCTGTAGCAGCATCTAAGCGCTCTGGCAAGCTGGCCTAGGACTCCTTGGTTTTTAATGAGCAAGGAAGAGTCTTACATCGTGGCCCTGGGTGTGCCCACTTGGCAAGAAAGCTGGGCTGGGGAGAGGTGCTAGAAGGCTTTAGAAAGGTGGCAGGAAGCCACACAGGTGTGGCTGATCTGGGCTCCTTGAGAAGCAAGTGTAGAGCAACCACTAGGAGACAACAGTGAGGTCTTATGCTGAGTTAAAGAGGAATTGCAGGCAGAGGTGTGGCTGACTTGACTCACTGAATGACCTGAGGACATAGCCCTATTCACTTCTATCTCTGGCAAATCAGAGTACTCATCTCAGGTGTTTTATATATTGTGTGTGTAATATGTGTAAACTCACATTGCACAAGTCTGGAGCACTTATTATGTTTCTGGAAAGGTTCTAAGAGCTTTATCTAAGTTCTTAATCCTTTAGGATTCATTATTGTTTATTTCTTACAGAAGAGGACAGAAGCCTGGAGAGGAAAAAGTTATTCAGTCACTCAGATTCTAGGATACCTAGTCAAGTTGGCAGTCAAGTGTCTCCAGTGTTAGCTGCTATGTGACAGACTTCCTCAGGGTTTTGGTCCCTGGCATTTCACACTATAACCTGCTCTTTGTAGCTTCCATGTCCTTGTTCTGGGACAAAGATGATCGAAGATGACAAAATGGCACTCAGCAAGCAGTGAGGAATGACTCAGTGTATGTTTAATGGAAAGAACAGAAGGAAGGGCTCCCTGATGTTTGAGCAGGGGTTCCATAAGGTGGACATCATAGATGTTTAAGTCCATTCATTGACTTTTTATATAGTTTTTAATGGGAGTGAAGGTGACAACACTGACATACTCGTGGTTGGAGGTAGACCTTTGATGTCTGGAAGGCAAGCTGTGTTGTTTGCATTTCACTTCTTCCATGGTTTCTCCCTTTTGTTTAGAGACCTGTTCTCTCTCTCTTGCTTTTCCTTAGGCCCTTACAGTCATTTTGCTTAAGATAGTTATTTGGGTCCTCTAGTATCTTAAATCACCTAAGCCCTGAATTTTAGTTTACTTCAGGTTAACTGTTCAGGACCTGTGCTCTATCTGCCTAACTCCCCCTTTCTCTGTGTTTCGTTCCTCCCTCTGCCATAGTGACACTGACTGCCGGCAGGATGCATGGGCAATGAAGTGTCTCCTCAGCTACTTCCTGCCCAGAGGGGGCGCTATTGAGGCACAGCAGCCAGAGTTTACCCCTGTGAGGCCTATCTAGATGTCCCAAAGAGAAGCTGGGAAGGGGGCCTGTTCAGGGTCTGTCTGCCTCATCATTTTAAGCTTTCAGTCTGTCAAATGAGGAGAAACAAATTTGACTGAGGTTGACAAAATGTAGTCCAAAAGCAAGGCTACAAGAAGCACTAACAATAGTCCTGCTAGGGTGAGTAACAAGCATGTCTATTTCAGGTACTTAACTAGGATCCTCATGAACTAGATAATTTTTGGTGATCTTTGAATCACAGCTAGCTAGTTTTTATGTTGCGTCACTCACTATTTCAGACTGATTAGCAGAAAAGCAACATTTTCTTCTATGAATAATTGTAACCTCTTTTTGGCAGAGGTTATCTGTAAGCTTCATTCTTAAAAGATCTTTTTATCTGATGTGACTTGTTTAAAGATAATACATTTTATTTATAAACTATAAGTTTTTAGCCTAAACATGTGGAGGCCCTGTGTATTTGAAAGACAATCTTAGGTAAGTAAAAGAATTTTGTTAGATTTTATAGCTATTATTGTGGCTTTTTTGCCTTACTGAACCACAGTAGTCACAAGCTGTAGGTTTAGGTGGAGCTTGTCAGCAGGGGCCAGCATATAAGATTTGGAACTCTTTTGTATATTTAACTGAAGTTACTCTTAATACATCTATATATCTTGTTGGTTATACTCTCTTGCTAGGCTTTTTTTGTGTGTGAGACAAAGTCTCCCTGTGTAATTTGGGGTGGCCTTAAACTCACTATATAGCCCACTCTGGCCTTAAACTTATCTTGCTGGATGTTTAAGACCAATTTTAAGTGATGGATCAGAATTAACCTTTTGTTGTATATTAACATCAGTCAAGTCTGCCCAGGGCTTCCTTTTGGAATCATGTATAGAGCCTCTCGGTTCCACTTCCAATGTCATCTGCTAAAGTGAGTCACAGTCTGACTTGACCATATGACTTCCCTTGGAAGGATGGGACATGATTTTATCTGGTGACTCTCCTTTTAGCACAATGTGCCTCAGTTGACTCCTGTCCTCTGGGATTGATGACTTGCTGCCCATGAGGTCGGGTGACTCACCAGAATGATGGGATTCTGTAAAGATGTTCCCTGATGTCCTGAGTCCTTGTTGACTGTGGAGGGCCAGGCCCAAAATATTGGCTGTTCTCAGTTACATATTTAGCTTTGGTCTTAGAGCCTGTCTCAGTTATGTTTCTCTCATTGCTTGGACAAAATACCTGATGCCCAGGATAAAGGAAGGAAAGGTTTATTCAGCTTACAGTTTATGGAGTTTTCAGTCCATACTTGGCTGGTTCCAAGGCAGAATGGCACATGGCAGAGGACAGGCAATCATGGTGGTGGAACACAGCAAAAGCAACAAGCACAAAAGGGAGGAATGGCTTTTACTCCCTTACACTGCATGCAAACTACCTGTCCCAGGGTGGGTGTAGCACTCACACCAATAATCTTAGCATTGGATCACAGATCAAACAAATCCTAGAAGCCTGCCCCATGACTGCATGAAGATTTGGGGGGACATGCAGACACAAACCATAATATTCCACCCCTGGCCCCCCAAAGACTCATGCAAACCATTTATACAAACAGCATTTAGTCCATCTGCAAGAGTTATCAAAGTCCTAACAGTTTCAGCATTGCAGAAGAGTCCAAGTTCCAAGTCACCTCCAAGATGTAAGGTAAACTCTTAGCTGTGAGCCCGTGGACACATGAAAAGTTAAACACTTCCAACATTCAACGGTGCAAAATAAACATTACCATTCCAAAAAGGTAAAGACGGGCATACAGAGCATTGGGACCAAAGCAAGTCCAACATCCAGCAGGGCCAATGTTATGTCCTGTAATTCCACATCCAGCATCTGAAGCAAATTGTGGCACATTGTGAGCTCCAAAGGGCTTGCATGACTTCACCTATATGGCACTTCCAGTGGTTAAAACTCACATGGCTTCTCTCTTGGGCCCACTTTGTTCCCTCCTTGCAGCCTTCCTCAGACAATCCACATTCCTGGCTTTTCCAAACTTCTGAGCTCTCCAGTGTACCTTTTGCTTCACACCTTTAGCTTCACACACTCCCCTCTCAGGGGCACACTCCCTGGCCTCCCAGGCCTTCTTCTGAAATCAGAGTGGAAGCCTTCTTAACCTCAGAACTCTCGAATTTTAAAACCAGCACCACGTGGATGATGCCAAGGTCTGTTGCCACCTGGAGCAGTACCCAAGCTTTCCTCTCTCTTGGCCATGGAGTTGAGTGCCTGGGTCGCTGGGCACTCTGAATCCAATTCTGAGGAGCAAATTCTTGGAACTTGGTGTGCCCTCTGCCATTCTGGAACATGACACTCTGCGGCTTTTTTCTTAAGGCAAAGTCTTTTACCTTTGCAGTTTTGAGGCTGCAAAGGGTGGAGACTTGCTTCTTCTAATGCCTTCGGCCATCTTTTCTATTCTCCCATTCTTCCACAACAATGGAGGTTTCCTCAGCTCTACATTTGCAATCCACAGCTTTAGTAGAGCTTCCTTTCTGGCCAAACTCACAACATTTTAATTAATTCTGCTAGGCTCCTTGCTCTTGATTCTCAATATAAATCTGGCTAAAAGCCCCCAACAATAGCCATGCCACTGCCCCAACATTCAACTGACTGGAAATTTCTTTAGACAGATTAATCAGTCCACTGCTGCTCTTAATCTCAGTCTCAGGCAAAGTCTCTGGACATGAGCAAAATACAGGCAAACTTTCTGTCAAGCCATAACACACATTGTCTGGAGTCCAAGAACCAATGCAGCCCTTCCCAGCAGAAACCTCCCAAATCTGGTCTTTACCAGCAAGATTTCTATTAGCCTTCTGGTCTTCTGAGCTCTGACCAGAATCTGCCATACAGAACAGCTGAATGTGTTCTACACTTCTCTTTCAGGCGACATCTCCAAACCTTTCTAAACTCTTCCCACAAGCCATTTCTAAAGGCTCTTGAACCACATGGTCAAGTACAGTCACAGCAGTGACCCCACTTCTCTGACACCAAATTTGTGTTGGTTTGGGGCTTATTTTGCAAGGGGAACAATATATAATACAGGACACATATTTAAATGATTATTCATAATAGTCACTCAAAGAATGATACACAAAAAGTGCAGGAAATCTGTCCACACACTAAGACCAAGGAATCCAGCTGAGGGCCTGGATCCCATGATAATGTCCTACATGAGTCCAGCTAAAGACCTAGAGCTCATAACAATACCTCCCATGAATTCAACTGGAGGCCAAAAGCCTATAACAATATCTCATTCAGGCCTGGTTCATGCTGCAAAAGCCCAAAGGTCAGTGGTGGGATCTAGGAAGTCTGTGCCAGCAGAATGAAGGATCTGTGCTAGCAGGTTGAGGGATCTACACTGGAGCCAGGAAGCGAAGCTCAAACTAAGAACCAGAGCTCCCCTGAAAGGTACCACAGCCATCCTCAGCAACAGTGAGGTCCTGAGCTCCTCTGATGATCAAGATGGCTGAGTTCCCATCAAGGAAGCTAATGCAGCAAGTTTCCTCAGGAGTCTGAGCTGTGCACCATCTTCCCCTCCTGAGCTAGGAAGCAATGCTCAGAGTGAGGACCAGAGCTCCCCCAAAGGGAACCGAGGCTATTCTCAGTCCCAACAAGGTCCCAAACTCCTCAAAGGATGAGAACAGCTGAGTTCATTGGGAAAGCCAGCCTGATGAGCTCCTCCAACAGAATCAATAGCTCCTTACAGCTTCCACCGGCTCCAACAGCCTTTCACCACTCCCAACAGCCTCTTTAGCTCCCAAAAGCCTGCTTAGTTCCCCAAAAGGCTTTTTTCTTCTTCTCCAGGTGTGCCTCTTATGCTGCTGGCAACAATCCCCAGGTGGGCCTCCCACACCCAGCACCCTGCTTACTCAGCTCAGCTGGGGGTTATAAGTTGGGCACCAGTCATCAATCTACTACAGAGCCCCACAACACCCAGAAGATAAGTTACATGAGTATTGAAGGGAGAGCAACAGTGATTACTTTTGAAGTCAAAGTTTTATAGAATACTATGAGCTAATAGTTATAAATTTTTACAGGGACAGTCTGAAATCTGAATCATAACATTGCAGTTTAGCACAATGATGTCAAAAGTATTAGATGCGAGCCATGTTTTTTACTTTTTTAAAAGTATATTTAGACTTTTATTTTAGTATAGAATACCTTACCATAGAGACGAGCTGTAGATTGTTAAGTGGAATATTTGTTTGCCATTTCTCCTTATTAGAAAACGAAGTGTGAGGCTTTGTCTTTTGCTGAGTCCACACAACATTACCATCTCTCAGGGGAAAGAAAGTTGGGAAAATCTCTCAAAGTAAAGAAAGCCTGTAAATAGGGTATGGAGGGCATTTATCCTGTGTTTTTCAAAATAGATCTAGTTGAATTATTACATAACAATTGATATTTTCTCTTACTGGCCAAGTCACATCGTCTCCCAGTGGATATCCTACCCGTGACTGACTGTCTGTAGGACAAAAATCAAATATGTTTCTCAAGGACTGAGGACCATGTTTCTGCCAATTTTTGAGAATACAGTGCACACGTGCAGCCATGAAAGGGGAGCTAACCAAATTTCCCACCTGAAACACATAAAGAATGTGAGGAGCTTGAGATGATCCCTGTCATATCACTGGACAACCTCCTTTCCTAGCATGCAGCAGTGATAAAGGAAGATTAATTTCCCCTTATCCTACCGGCAACAGCCATAATGTGCCCTTGTCCTTTCCCACAGGGGAGTGAGATGGGAAATATTTGCTTAGTGGGAGCCTTTCTCCCTTTGTTCATGGCCTCAATAGGGGCCTCCTTGTTCCTCTCACTGCCTCTACATAGCAGTGAGAGAAGTCCACTTCTCTTTAACCTCATGGCTTCAGTCAAAAGGTACCCCAGTGAGTGCCTGAGAAGGAATGGGAGGAGGTCTTGCCTCTGGCATGTTTTCTGAGATCCCTTTCTCCTAGTGGATCCCCTAGCCAGGATAAATTTTGAAGACTTTCCCATGTACAGAGGAAAGCCTACTGGAAAATGTCCTGTATTGATTGAGATATGTCAAATGGCTGGCTTTTCCCTAGGGAGTACAAGTCTTTCTTAAGAGGCAGACTTAGCTGGTGAAGTGGCTCTAGAGATAAACATTGATCGTTCTTGTGTCAATATCTGTGCTCTGTGTGCATTTTAATGTGTTGACTCAAGGAGAGATGTCTCTCTGTGTGTTGGGCAGGTGCCTTTCTCTGTGTATTTCTAGTTCAGATCAAACAAAGATGAGGTTTTTTTCCCTAAGGAAGTGGGGCCTGTGAATATCCTTCTGAGAATCACTGGGAACCAGGGGCAGTAGGGACTGATGAGTCACAGGAGATTGCCTAGCATAAAAATCATCCTATTAAAATATTTCAAATTGGCAGCAAGTTTATCAAGTAAAACCTACATGTGACATTTGGGGACAAGCATTGAGGTCTTTATCAGCATTTATGATGTATTGTATGTCTTTGCTATCTTCCTTTTGGGGATAGATTAATGGAATAAGAAAAGAAAAAACACATGGGATGCTGAGGTCAGGCTGTGAGATGGCTGCCTTGTCTTGAAGTCATAGCTGCATGTGCAGCCCAACCCAAGGCTACACCTGACTCACCTTTTGTCTTGAGCAGTCAAGGCACGTTTGTCACTCATATAGATATGTGTTGAGTATATCTTGTTCTTGACACATAGCTATTTTAATCCTTATTAATCCTTATTAGAGATGTGTTGAGTATATCTTGTTCTTGATACATAGCTATTTTAATCCTTATTAACAGATTAAGATTCAGAAAAAGACTTCTGTGCAATTGCTGGACTTTTACTCAAAATATAAGACTAAAGATTTTTATATGTAAGAACCTGAGACTATGCAGTACAATGAACTCATAGAGAATTTTTTAAAGCCTGGAGATGTCACTTAACAGCCATGAGGTACATTCTGACATAACACAATTATACAACAATTGGAAAAATTTTATCAGCACCAGCAACTTTAGTTAGGAAGTCATTAGCAGAACAAAATACTTTTCCCTTTTTACCTTTGCATGTTTGAAGCTCTGTATGCTTGGGAAAGAAAAATACATTTAGTACAATATGATGTAGCAATAATTAGCCTCACAACTGTGTACAGAACTTTTTGTCTCTACTTTTTAAACTTTTTATGGCAGAATTTAGATTTTTTCATAGTTTCTAGGGTGTAACCACACTGAACAGAAGAAATGAGCATCTTTAGAGGTTTTATACATTTTGGAAATTGTGCCACTGATAAAATACAGATTTATTGCCCAATATGTAAGTATATTTAATCAAAAAGTAGCAAAATGTTTAACTAAAATACCAAGTTTTAAATGGCAGGACCAGACTGATAGAGATGTCAAATTTTGGTCATTTCATTTCTAAAAGAACTAGATGTAGGCTGTATAAAATATGCAAGTCACTTAGTACTTACTATAGTTATGTAGTATTAACTCCATATTTAACTTTAAAGCTTAGATTTACATATATATTAAATTATATCATAAACTGAGATAATATTTGTGTATTCAACCCATCATAAACTGATTCCTGGAAACATTTTATGAGACCCCATGTAATTTAACTTTTAAAACTCACTTATAGAGCCTTGGTGAGCTGCTTGAAAGGGGAGGAAACTCCACCCATCACCCTTCCACCATTGCAGGAGGCTTGCAGTTGCTTTGGTGAGCCAGGAGGGAGGAATAAACCTTAGCCATTGCCTCTTCACCATCACAGGAACCTCAGTCCAGAGGAACACAGGTGCCTGGCCCATTCTCCTACAGTGTAGGGCAGGCACCCAGTGCAGGAAGTGCCCAGGACATGGCAGTCAGACTGTCTGGAGGAACCCAGAGTAAATCTACTCAAACAAGGGGAAAAATTTTGCATATAAACTTTTAATTTATGATTGGTTCTGCTATAAATATAGACCTTGCTCCTATGGTCTAAAGACTAAAATCAATCGTTACAACAGTGTATCAATTTCTAAATTGTGCTTGATGCTATCATTATTATTACTTTTATGACTGTAGCTAGGATGTCATATCAGTGTAATCAGTTTTACTCCCTTGCATAATAATATTGAGATGTTCTGGGATAATAACTTCATTACAGCCCTACACCAAAAGATTGGGGACTGAGTCAAGCAGACACCAACACTCCACTCTCAATTAATTGGGAAGGTAGGTTCTTGGGACAGACAGAAACCAAGAGTCTCCTACATATAGAAGATATTCCTAGAGAGGCTTGATACTAGTGATATGGCTATCTACTAACAAAATTCACAAAGATCATCACAGAAAATACAATAATTTTTTTTTGAAATAGAAACTTTCAAGATGAAGAAGAAAATGCAATCTCAGACCTCCAACCTACCCAGAACAAGTCCAGGAGACATTCAACATAGAAGAAATTGAATGTCACACACCTGAATATTCTGAAATGTTAGCATCTGAAGTAAAGAAACAACTCAGGCTAAGGATCAGAAATAATCTCTTAGATAAAAAAAAATGACAACAATAATGAAAGAATTGCTCAGCATATCTGAAGTACACATAGATTAAAAAAATACAGGAGCATAGGAAAATGATGGAAATCTTGAGTGAACTACTAAGAAAGAATTCAAATGAAAGAAATAAATTCAAAGAGATATCCAGGAAATTTAAAATTCCATTGAAAGCTGGCAAAACCGCTTGACCAAAATCAAAGATAGACTTTCAGACCTTGAAGACAGGATTGCAGCTAGTGATCATGAAAGGAAAGATCTCTTAAAATAACAAGGAGCTAGGAAATAACAATTCAAAAGTGGCAAGATGATGCAAGGAAAAATACTGATAGGTGTCAACTAAAAAGCAGGAATCAACACAAAAGGCATAAAAAGACTATTTGCAGAAAAATATCAATATGGAAAGAATCTGATATAGAGTAAGTGAGGCATATATAACTCCAATTAGCCATAATCAAAATAAATCTATACCCAGACACATTTTCAACATTCCAGTCAGGGATCAGCTTACTCATCTCCTTGAGGCTGGCCAACCTGTGTAGGTGTGTGGGAAGGGTCAGGCTCTGCCCCTTTACTTTGTGCAGGTAGTGGGAGGGAGGAGCAGCCTCACACTGACAGGGATGGTTACACCTTCTGCCACATCACTCCTTTATATGAGGCAGCCTGGAGCTAGAAGACTTTGGAAGACCTGGTGTCGTATCTGAACTTCTCCATGATATCAGGTAAGTTCTTTTCTGTCCTCTTTCAATCCATCTGAAAAGTGAGGGAGGAAAATGTCTATTGCTAGTGCTTACCCAATGCTTTCAGACTCTGACAAGCAAGGAGCTGTCAAGAATGTGGAGCTCTAGGCTCTGAGAGACCATGAAGATGCTGGGGACAGCAGGCTGCCCTCTACGAAAAAGTCATGGAGACCTTGGAGTTTATCGGTCATTCTCCACTGTTGAGAGAAACACTGTGAACTTAGAGAAATCTCTCTATAAAATTAAGGAAAGAACAGCATAAGCTTATAGAGAATTAAAAAAATAGAACCTCAAAATTCAGAAACAATAAAAAATGGGCTTCTGAGATGCATATACACTTCTCAAATGAATAAATAGAAATGACAAATAAATATATGAAAAAATGTTCAACATCATTGATCATTGAAGAAATGCAAATTAAAAGAATACTGAGATACCATCTCACTGCAGAAAGGATGGCATCATAAAAAACCAATCCATAACAAATGCTGGTGGGGCTGTGGGGAAAAACAAACACTTCTCTACTGTTGGTGGGAGTGTAAACTGGTGAAACCACTATGGAAATCAGTGTGGAGTTTCCTCACAAAACTAGAATTAGAAGTCCCATTCCAACCAGATATTCCCCTTCTGGATATCTTCCCAGAAGAATTAAAAACATGGTACCACAGTGATGTACGTGCATCCATATTTATGGCAGCTTATTTGATTTTTTCATGTCCATTAATATTTGTTTTATATAGGTGGATTCCTCAGTATTTGGTGCATATATATTTATATTCGTTATCACTCCTTTCTGGAGTTTTCCCTTAACAAGCATTTCTTGTCCTTCTTTATCTCTTTTGATCAGTTTTGACTTAAATTTCACTTTGTCTGTGAAGAGTGTGTCTACCCCTGATTTTTTTCTGGGTTCCTGTCACATGGAGTATTGCTTTCCATCCTTTCAATTTCTTTTTGAGTTAAATGTGTTCCTTGAATGCAGCAGATTGTTGCATCTTGTTTCTTGATCCATTCTGCCAGACTATTTCTTTTGATTGGTGAATTAAGACCATTTATACTGATGGTAATAACTCATATGTATTGACTTGCATTTGTCATATATTTTAACTGTTGATGGTTCCCTGTCTTTCCCCTCTGTTTAATTGCTTGCCCTGCCTGGTCATTTCTTTCTACTGGTAGTCTTGTAATTGTGGTCTTTATTTTCTCTTTCTAGAATATCTTTCAGAGCTCTTTGTAAAGGTGGTTTTCTTGTCATGGATTTCTTCAGTTGTTCTTCATACTGAAGTATTTTATTTCTCCATTAATTCTGAAGGATAATTTTTCAGGATACATCAATCTAGGTTGGAGGTTGTTTTCTTTTAAGACATGAAATACTTCACTCCAAGTTGTCCTTGACTTAAGAGCTTGTATTGAGAAGCCTGTTGTGATTCTGATGGGCTTTCCTTTATAGGTGATTTGTTTCTCTTCTGTAATGCCTTTTAATATTTTGTCCTTGTGCTGAATTTTTTGAATCTTGATTATTATATGCCTTGGTATAATTTGTTTTCATCATGACCAGTTGAAATTGTGTATGCCTCACTTAGCTTTATATCAAATTCTTTGCCCATGCTTAGGAAGTTCTCTGCTATTACTTCTTTGAACAGGTTTTTAAAATTACATTTGTGCCAGGTCCTGCATTTTCCTTGATTCCAGTCAGTCTTATGTTGTTCTTCTTTGCATTGTCTTCCAGATTTTGGATTGTGTTTTCATGGCCCCTTGCTATTTTTAATTGAGCTTTCTTGTCGTGATCGCTAATCATAATCCTGTCTTGTAGGTCTGATATTCTATCTTCATTTTCTTTCATATGTTTTTGCAAACTTTCAGTGGAAGTTTTAGTTTCCTGGATATCTATTTGAATGCATTTCATGGATTCCATTTATTTCCTATGTTCATCATCATGGTTTCTCTTTTCTATGCTCCTCTATTTTTTTATTCTATGCCTATCTAGATTTGCTTAGAAAGTCCTCCATTATGGTCATCATCTCCTTTTTTACCTATGAGATTATTTCCATCTTGATATGTTGTAGAGCCTGATGTGTTTATGTATTTTATTTCTTTTACTGTCACTACAGTGAATTCAGTTGGATGACTTCTCTTCTCCTCTATCTCATTGTCCCCTGGATTTGTCCTTGGTTGAATAGAAGTCTGGCATTGCATTTTGTTTCTGTATCTTTTAGTTTTAATTTTAATTTGTTTTCTGTGTTATTGTTTGTATTTTTCTTATGTTGGGTAGCTTTATCCCTGGTATGGAAGCTTCCCTAGCAAACATCTATTCCTCTGATATTTCTTCTAGCTGTAGTTGGCTGTTAGTCTTTGTGTCTGTCCCAGGATCCCATCTCCTCACTTTGTTAAGGATGATATGTTGCTATCCATTTGGCTCAGTGCCCAGTCCTTTAGGACCGGGCTATGGTTATCACCCAGATCATTATAGTGTTATCACACAAGTATGAACAACTGATTGCAACAAGTATGGCATGTTGGCTAAGGTAATAAATTAGTAATGAAAATATCAAGCATAGCCTAGAAAGTGATAATCTGTGTTTAGTGGTAATTTGGTATCTCTAACCATCAGAGCAAGGTCTATAGTTACATAACAACCTCTAACATGGATCAGGAGTTTGTATGCTGTGAGTTTCCCCTTAGCAGGTTCATTTTGTCCCGTGGGGAAGGGGAATTTTCAGGGAGTAGGGGCAAAACAGAGTGATAACTGAAGAGAAATACAGTTGAAGCAAGGCTGAAGGACTAAAGATGATCACTCAAATTTTTGGAAGCTTGAGAAGAGGAGAGGAGAAAATAATGAAGGCCAAACCAAAAGAATTTTGAGGCAAAACAGAAAGACTAGGGGCAGTGCTCATTCACCTGTAAATCTATTTTATTTATTCCTTTGAGGTACAAGCTCATTGTTTAATTGACTTTTTAGGTTTTTTGTCTCAATTTCATTGATTTCCACTCTCTTGTTTAAAGTTTCCCCCTTTCATTTTGCACTGGGGCTGGTTTGTTGTTGTATCTCAAGTATCTGAAGATTTCTCATAAGGTTATTTGAGTTTTCTCTATTTTCCTAATGTGAGCATTAGGAATTGATTGATTGCAATGAATTTTCCTCCTGGAATTGCTTCCATAATGGCTCACAGGTTTTACTGAGTTGTACAATCATTGTCATTAACTTCCAGACATTTTGAAATTTGTTATTTGACTTTTTCTGTGACTTCATTGGTTGCTTAGGAGTATTTTGTTAATTTTCCAGAAGATTTTGCCTGTTTTGAAATTTCTTTTTTCATTGATTTGTATTTTCATTCCACATTGATCTGATGGTATGCATGAGATAATTTAAATTATTTTATATTGTTTTAAATTGGTTTTGTGGAATAATATGTAATCTATTTTGGAAAATGTACCATATGCTGCTGAAAAGAGTGTATACTCTATTGTAGAGGAGTGGAATTTTTGGTATATATCTTTTAAATCCATATGTTTAAGGGTGTGAATGAGCTCTGCTATTTCTTTGTTGGATTATTGTTTACTTGATCTATCTGTTAGAAACTGGGGTGCTATGATCACTTACTATGATTGTGTTAGTGTTTATTTGATCTTTTAATTTCAGCAGTTTTTGTTTAAAGAACATAGGTGCTCCAGGATTTGGAGCATATTTGTTTATTAATGTTACCTCTTTGATTTTTCCCTCAACTAGTATATAGTGACCTTGTGTCTTATAATCAATTTTAGCATGAAGTCTACCATATCTGATATTATTAATGCTACCCCTGCTTGATTTTAGGGTCCTGGTGTATGAAATGTTGTTTTCCATCCTTTAAGCTTTAATCTATGAATATCTTTTGGATTAGGTGAGTTTCTTGAATGCCAGCAGATTGCTGCATTCTGGTTTTGGATCCAGTGTGCCTATCTGTGTCTTTTAATTGGAGAGTTGAGACCATTAATATTGAGGAATATTACTAGGATGTGTTAGTATTTCACTATTATTGCCTTCTTTGTTGGTGAATCATTTGTTTTTCTTTTTCTGGCATTTTTTTGTTGCTGTTTATCCATTGACCTCCCTAATTTCCTTTGTGTTTTTAATTATGTCTGTTTTGTGATTTCTGTTGAGAGTGTACATAAATGTTTTCTCAACAGTTGGTTTAGAAGTCATATTTTGAGCTGGCCTTTTCATGGAACAACCTTATTTGTCCATCTATTTTTAAGGATAGCTTCACTGGATTAGTTCATCTTGGGTGGATGGTATTTGCTCTTAGGGCTTTCAATATAATCTCCTGGCCTTTACAGGTTGTGTGGAGAGTCTACTGCGATTTCTAATTGGTTCTACTTTTGCATGTAATTTTTTGGGTTTTTTTTTGTGTCTGCTTTTAGAATTCTGGGTTTTTGCTAGATATCTGCTAATTTAATATGGACATACATAGTGAGCTTATTTTTTGTCATAGTAGACTAGTGTTCTGTAAGTGTTGTTTACTTGTATTTTAACCTCTTTTCTTATAGCTACACATTTTCTCCTTTCCCTGAACTTATAGGCTTATTACTCTGTAGGAGCCTGGGGTGGTGCCTTGTAACCTCCTAACCATCTCAAATACAATGATGGATGACATTTCAAGGCCATCACAACCTGGAGAACCAAGACCACCCTGGCCAACATAGGGATGGAAATTTTCATTGCATTCTGTTCTGTTTAGGGTTTGCTGAACTTGAGCATGCTCTTGCCACCTTTCCTTTAAAATCTGCATTTGACACTATTATTAGGCAAGAGGAAAGCAGTGAAAGGGGGTGTAAAAGCATATAAAAAGGGCGTGGAGGTGAGCAAGATATATTGCATACATTGAGCCTTCTACTCCCACATGAAACCAGTGCAGAGTGTGGGGCAAGCAGGTGATAGGTGTAAATATGATCAAAATATATTATGTGCATGTATTAAACTGCTGAAACGAAACCCACTTATCTATATAACCAAGTCCTGTTAAAGGAAATACTAAAAATATGCATATATGACTGGGATTCAGGGAAGCTTTATCTAAAGTTTTATACAAAATTTTATACAAAATTCCAAGGGAAAGGGAAAATAAATGGATAACATGTTTTCCTTTTCTCCATGACCAGGTGCTGATAACCTGTTCACCTCCTTTGATATACCTTGTTCTGGAGATCAGCAGCAAGGTGGTGGAGTGCTAAGTAACAGAAAAAGAACTTCTCCAAGTGCTGCCATCCAAAGGCTGGAATATAATGAGGTGGAGAAGTTAAGAAGGCAGGAAAGCCCCTATAGATCCAAGAAGGACCTGCAGTACGAATTGAAGCACACAAAGACAGTGAAGAGAGAAACTTTTGCGAATGCGAAAGAGTTACTCAGTGGCGTCTTCTCCCAGGTATGGGATGTGCTGTGTGAAGGGAGCAGTCCAAACCTGCAGACACATGTTGAGTGCTGGCCACTACAGAGGCCTCCAAGGAGAGATGCAGCTGTGGAGAGGAACACTGGAAGAGAAATACTGCACTGGCTGCCATGGAGTACTCTAAAACCTGTGGGTGAGTGAGGAAGGCTCAGCTGCCTCATGGGAGAGACTGATTGGTGGAGAACCATCTTGAAGAAAGACCAATTAAACTCAGAACTCAGAGCAGCTGCTAGCTCCATCTAGTGGTTCCTAATTGGGTTGAGGCCCACAGAACATGCGCTTATGGATACAAGGCGCCAGAGGGTGCAAGTTGGCGGGCTTTTTGGGATAAATCAATAGGGACACTGTCTACATAGATTGTTTACCAGTAACAACAGAGACAAACCTGAAAGTGGACTTCTTTTGTGGTTGTTGTTGGTTTTTTGGTTTGTCTGTTTGTTTTTGTTTTCTTCTCTCATTTTTTTTTTGTAGTTTTGCTTTTTTTCTTTTATTTTCTCTTTCTTTTCTTTCTCCTTCATTGTTTGAACTTGTGTTTATATGAGGATGAATGCAGTGTCTAGCTTCTTTGTGGCTGTGGTTCTGTTGAGTTCCTCTTTTTATTTCTTCCTCCTCTCCCTCCAATCTTCTGCACCAGCTTCCCCAAGTTAGTGTGATCCTCTTTTGTTCTCCAGCTTTCTAATCTCTTCCTCCTCTTCCACTTCTCTATTTTCTCTCTAATCCATTTTAAATTTTAACCCCTGAGTGCAAAATTGACATACTAAGGACTTGTGTACTGCATACAATTTTCTGATTTGTTTTAGACTTTGTTATATAACTACAAATCTAGTTCACACAGTGACAGGCGACAAATGAATGGTTACTATAGTTTGTCATTTTCTAGGCTCTGTTTTATGTTATGGTTATTGGTACCACTATAACCAAAAGTGACATAGCTTTTCTAAACAGCTGTTACAAACATCACCCCAGGAATTGAACTAAAAAAAAAGAGAAAAGAAAATGAGGAGACACTTTAACGAGATGCAACCCCCAACATCAACAAAGGCAAGCTCAGGGGGCAATGAGGTGGGACAATCCACAAACTACCCACCTGGCCTCTCTGAGGTGGTAACAACAAAGCAATTGAGTGAGGCTCTAGAAAAAAATCAAATCAGAAATAAGCTCTCAAATAACTGCAGAGATGTTGTCCACAGTGAAAACCATGCTTAGCGATTCTAGAGCAGATACAGACAAGAAAAGAGACAAGCTGAAAAACAATTATCGAAACCATAATTTATCTTATTCTCCTCACAGAAAGCTAGGAACTCAAATGGCTGAGAAAGCACATAAGTGGTAAGTCACAAAATAGCTTGGAAATAGTTCTGTCCCACTTCTCCAAGGACAGTATGATGCAAGGCATCATTTCCTATACTACAAGTGTATCAGCTCTGGCTAAAGTCCCAAGAAAAATGTGTTAGAAAATCTTGGGGCATTTAATTATTTTGCAACTATCTGCATTTAGAATTGCTTGTTCATTTTGATTAAAAAGATAAAGAAAAAGCCCCAATATACTGGTGTCCAGATGAAATAGTTGTCCTTTTGTTACTATATTGGTACTTAATCAATCAGAAAAAGATAACTGTATAAAAAAGCAAATCCTAAAAGTTTCTTGGAACAATGAATGTATTTAGATTCTTTCTAATGTTTTCACCCAAAAACAGTCCTATCTTGTATCCCTTTCTTTCTCCTCCTAGCTGAATTTTCTTAGAATGTGCCTGTCCCACTAATTCTGAAGTAGAGACTCTGAAAGTTAATTGTAAGTTCACCTGTGTATTTTTTCTTATCTAACAGCTCAGCAGATTCCCAGATACTATGATATTCGTGATTCTCAACAGATGGTATGGGTCCTGAGTGGAAATGTATTAATAACATTTCCATCTAGCAGCAATGTTGAGCCTGGTGAGTGATATTCAAAGCTGTTGTTGCTCCTCGAGGGACTCCACTTTCCCTGGAGATAGAAGGGAGCCTGTATGAGCCCACCCTAGTCCTCATCAACTTCTGGGTACCAGCTCAATATCCAAAAAATGTGCAAGAAAGGACAAGATGGCTCCCTTCCCAAAAGGAAAACCTTTGTGTAGAAACAAGAGTTTGGAGGAATGACATCTCCCCTTACCAAAAGAAAATATGTTCAGACACAGAGAGGTTATCCTTTCAGGCAATGGCTGACTTCTTGGAATTTCTGTCCTTTAAAATCTAATAATTGTGAATTATATTTGGATTCAAGCTCCTGCTCTCTACCATCAGATTACACAGTTGTCTAATTTAGCATCTTCTCTTTGAAAAATGTGGGAATATTTTTTTCCTCATCAAAGTCAATCTATCTTCATCCTTTTCCCTTTCTTCAATATTTCTGTGTTGACCTAGGTTGTCTCTTAGCTGCATATTCCACCTTTATCTATGGGATGTTTCCTATCATTGACAGACATGCTCCACTGTGATATCTACAATCGTCATACTATGAAACCATTCTATTTTCCTTTACCAGTCATAGTTGAATTTCATCCAGATTTCATAAGAGTTGGCTACGCAACTTCTGTCCACTTCTTATTTGCATTTCCATCAAAGCAATCTGATTCGTGGACTGCTGTTCACTCCCCCTTCAGCTCCTTCCCAAAGCTAGGGTCTAAATATGCAACCCCAAAGAACACTTCTCTGATCTCATATTTCTTGACCCCTCATTCACACTTACTATGATCAATAAGTTTCCATTTTCAACACTCTACATCTTATTGTGGTGTGGTTCACTGGCTCTTCATTTGGGTTTCCTTTTACAAGATACTTTTTCATGATAATATGTAGAAAGTACTTTTAGAAATCCTACACAATACCTCCATTTATACCTCATGGGTCACAGTTTGAGCTCATGGCTACATTTAGCTGCAAAGTTGATAATGCATTTTATTCTTATATTTGGAAAGTAATGTGCCCTGGTGAGAATTGAGGTTCTGATATTAATTAAAGAAAAAGAAATGGGTTGAAGTGTCTTTGCCATATGGCTATTGAGAAAAGCCCATTAGAGATGCCCTAGATGTTCAGTATCTCTTGGTTTAGAAACATAACTGAGTGTGAGGTTGGCATACTGACTTCCTTCTTTTTGGACACTTACATCTCCATTTATCCTGTGTTTCCAGTCACTCTTGCAATAATAGCGTGTAGACACACAGAACATTGTGATGAAGAAAAAGGCAACCTGATTTACCTGGGAATCAAGGACAAAAATCTTAGTTTGTTCTGCACAGAAATTTATGGCAAGCCTACTTTACAGCTTAAGGTGAGTGGATGTACAGCTACTGAAAAACATATCAAATAAACATTTAAATGTCACTAATAGTTTTATAATCCTGAATTATCACTACAAGGACACAAACTTGACTTTTCTAGTTCTCAAATTAATAAATGCTGCTATAGGATGGTCATGACACCCATCAAAATGCTTCTGAAAAGCCAAGGAATGGTGGTTTCTTGGTCCTAATAAACTTCCACTTAAAAATCCTCTAATTGCGTCATTAGACAAAAGCAATCACATTGGGCAAATAGAGAGAGATTATTTATCTGGATTTAGAAGAATTCACGTTTCTATCCATATGCTAAAAGGAGAATTTATATTAATAAACAACACTACAACTAATTTTGGGAGGTGTAGTGTACAAACCCATTTGGAGCCTGGTTATGCAATGAGGCTGACCTGAACCTCAGAATGAGTGGGTACCAGAGGCTCCCAAGAAAGAGATGAAAACTCCTCTCTGTTTAGTGAAGAATCAGCACCTGGTGGCATGGGACCTGGAAATGGAGCCAGATTATGGAGAACTAGCAGATGCCTGTTTGAACAGCTGGTTTCTTCCTCCTTGTAACTAACAAGCCTGTTTTCTTACCCTAGGAGATCAACATCATGAACCTGTACTGGGAGAATACATCACAAAAGCCTTTTCTGTTTTTCCACAGTGTGGAGGGCTGCACCTCTGCCTTTCAATCCGTCTCCTACCCTGATTGGTTCATAGCCACTTCCTCTGTGCCAGGTCAACCGATCTTCCTCACCCAAGAGAGGGGTTTAACTCACTGCACCAATTTCTATTTATATCCTAAGAATTAAATCCAGTCTTGGCTGTGGGTGGATAATTCCAAGGTAGAGGATCAATCTGTAGGGGACAGCAAATCTTAGCTTAGATAAAATAAATTTAGTAAAAGCCTAAGGCATGACTTGGGAAGCCTCCCAGAAGATTGTAAGGGCTCAAATTCTACCCTGGAATGTCTCCCTGAGATAAGGAACAGCCAGGCCTAGATAATCCTCCGTAACCCTGCCTGGGTGGTTTCATCCCTTTTCCTGACCCTAGGTAAACATTGTAACCCTAAAGGAATGTATAGGTTGTAAAAAGGGAAACAAATGGAACACAATGGGAGAAGCATCCATCATCCAACATGTGACTAGCAACTGATCCAGGGTCCCACAGGATGAGAGAAAAACCATATGGCCACCTGGGTCAGCAAATGTAACATTCCAATTTGTAACCATGGAAACCCAAAACTTATTTAGGATCTGAGTCAGAACTAGCAGGCGCTGACATTTCCCAACTTGTTAGTTGGGAGTTGCTCGGTGGCCTGTCTAAATTCAATAAACTCTGTTTGTTCAAATGGAGTCTTTTGGTCTCTTGTGGAATACAGCCCAATTTTTGCCCTTACAAATCTTTTATTTGAAAATACAGTAACTCATCTTAAGAGACCACTGGGCCTTGGTGAGGCCATCAACCTTTCAGCCCACCCGTAGCCCATCTCATTCTGACTGTCCCATCACTATATCCTCCTTCAGATATTCACTTCTGCACCATGTCCCTAACTTGAACTTCACATCAGCAGGAAGCCTGAGTCACTCTCACTCTTTGCTGAAATTGTTCCACCATCTGCTTGGCTACCAAGTCCACTGCCATCAACCTATATGCTTGTTACTTACATGGTATCTTCCAATTCCTGTGCCAACTCATGGCCCAAAGTTTAAGATCCCAAATCTTCTTGCTTCCACAATTGTATCAACGAAATTATTTATTAATTTCATACATGTTTGTTTTAAACATTGGAGCACATACCCCAAAAGATAAATCTGAAGAACAAGATGAATGGAAAATCAAAAATTTACATGGTAGATTCATAATAGCATAAGTTAACAATTTGACACACAGTATTGTTGGAGATGCCTGCAGTGGGTTCCAATCTCCTGTCTGGGTTCAGTGCATAGTGAGAAAGGAAAGAAAGAGCAAGAGACAAAGTAAAAGGGTGCATTGCAGAGATCAGGGACCACCAGTTGCCCTCTAGGAAGAAAAGGCCGTGAACCACCCACAACCTCAGTGTTTATTTACTCAAGTAAATGGTGAGGGGATTGCAGATGAATGTGCTAGACAAGTGGCAAGCCTGGAAAGTATTGTAACAGAGAGAACAAAGCATTCTTGCGAAGGAGACAGGAACAGCCTGATTTAGTTAAAGTTAATGAATAACCTGCTTTGTAGACAATTCTGGGAAGGAATTTTACTCTGGAGTCATACAGGCCTCAGCAGAGATGTTATCTCATATCTTAACCCTATGGTATCACAGCTTGTCTATCTGAGCTCAAACACAGTTATTGATAATAAACAATATATTAGTCCATTATCACCCACTTGCTTTCATGAAGGTATGTACTCAGTCTTGGCTAGATTAACTAATTAAACTGAAAGCAAATTTAGAGATGTCATCTCTATATGTCCTGCACTGCTTGTAAGGAAACACAGTCAGGCACACTTGAGTATGGGGACGGGTGATGTGGCAGTCCTCCACACGATATGCAATTTGGTTATGATTAAGTGTTAAAATTGATGATTGTAAATCAATTCATATTCCTAAGTGTCATTCATTGTACATTAGAAGCACCTGAACAACCTGAGAACAAGCTCAAGAGTGGCGCTGAGTGGATGGAGAGGGTGAACAGAGACTCCAGAACGCATGTGTCTGACCTTACTGCCTAAAACCATTTCAAACAAATAGAATTTCATTGCCTCAAATAAAAATGAGAGATGATTTGTTGAGACTCCTTGGGGAATTAAATTCTTTAAAAGACAAATTCTGGGCATATAAATTGTTGACTTGCTAAACGGCATCAATTTCCAAGGCAATTTGACATCATATTCTCAATTTCTGTAACACTTTAGTGCTTATCACTGAAATACTATAAACTTCCCTAAAGAGTCACATGACTAAGCACACACACATGTGAGCATGCACACACACACACAATCATTGACCTCAGTTTGAATGAAATCAGGCAGCTTCTCAGAACTAATCGTACTATCCTTGTTTTACTTGATAAATTGATTGCAAATAGAAGAATCAACTATGATATTTTCTAACTGTTATTTTATTTTCTGGAAATTCCCTAGTTTATGAGACCTATAGTTTCTCTATGAGGAAAGTGTTAAGTCAGTTGTTCATTGTGTGAGAGTTACGTTAGGGAAAACTTGTAATATGACCTGCAAATACACTATCCAGGTACATGTAGTCTGTAATCATTATAATAACCTGAACATGAATGTGCACATGATGAGAGCACTTTCCTCAGAAGGATAGGGCCTCTTACACATGCCTAATAGAAGTGTCAGGTCTTACGATGTATGCTAGTTCTTCAGGTTGAATTTTCCATCCCGAAGCAGTATGTTCCAAAACCTATCTTTCTTAAATAAAGTCAGGTTACTTTACTGCCTGGGATTCCATTGGAAATACTCCTTGAATCCCCTCCCCTCATCCCCTTTCCTCTGGTTAGTCTGCCTTTCATGCTGGTATTTCTGTGCAGCAAACTTTGAGAGGTGTCATTTGATGGTTGGTTATCTCAGCTGCCTGGACACCTATGTTTGCTCCATGGCTCTTAGGACACCTGCGGAAAGACACTTGCACCAATGTGCTTGAGCAATGCACAGAACTAGAAAGGACAAAGAACTCCCCCATAGGGAGACCTTGACATAGCACTGTGGGAATGGATGCCCATCCTTCACTGACAATTCTGAGTTGCACTGTACACGGTTCCCCCCAAAGTGTCCCAGTGGTGAGACAGAAGATGAGAAAGTAAAATCTTGTAAGAAACAAGGGGTATCTTCAGATATATTATTTGCCTCTGTGGGTTGAGCAACATGATGCTTTTTGCTTGAATCTAAGCTAGCAACCAAAGGAGGAGGTGTAAGAAGACAACCTTCAGTTGCATGGCAGGACTGAACTGGGGCACTCCAACTGTTGGCTTCCCTGTCTCCCTTTTTTAATTCGCCAGCACCCTCTCCTGTTGCCTGGAGTCACTTTTCCTCTTCCTGCATGCAAACCATTATCTCAGGATCTTCTTACTGGGGAGATAGATTCTACCTAGGCAAACTTCTTCACTAGCCACCTTCAATGTTGAGTTTATTCCCTCTATGGCTCTGCTATACGGTGGCAAACATCGCCAGCACTTCCATATCTGTATATCTCTCCCGTCTATGTCTTCTTAATAACCTAAGTCTTTCTCAAGTGTTTAGATTCAGCTCCTCACTTTCCAAACCAATGGCAGCAGCTGCTCCTTGCAATCACAGCATTTCAGCCTTCTCATAGGACACTTCTTTTATAAGAATTTATGTTATTTTTGCCTCCTGTATAGCACTTTCTCAAAAACTCTTGTGGAAATAGATTAATTCTCATTGCATATATTACATCTTCCCATTGATAATGAAGCAATCCTGACAGGATCTGGTATTACAATCACAGAGAGGACCTTCAACTTTAAGAAATATCAAAGGAATTGCCAAGCTTCTTAAAACAGTTGGAGCAGGAAAGCAGAGAAGTGTTCTCAGGAATTTTACCATTTCAATTCACTCTCTTCTTCCCCTTATGTCAAAGCAACTCCAGAGGCTGTGAGGGTGTTATGATGTGCGCTAAGGAGTGAGTGGCTGCAGAAACAAAATATAACCCAGAGGACCCCCAAAGGCTACCAGACAGTGCCCACCACCTGCCTCTCAGGCTTGTGGGCAGAACATGGGGTTTGCATTTTGTCAAAGCCCCCCTCCTCACATAAGCAGTTATGCATGCTCAAAACTGTGTCGGGACACAGTAGGAAGAGCCCAGGGGATTTTCTCTTGCAATTCTTTTCTCTGACAAAAGTCAATAAAAAGTACAAGATGATGGCAAGGATGACCATGAGTTACTTGTAAGGACACTGCGATTGGGTACATGGAAGGCAGGGCTTCCACAAATGTGAGTTCTGCAAATAGCGGAATGGAGAGGAAGAATGGCAAATGGTTTTAAAAGCACATTATTGAAGACCTCTGCAGTGGGCTTCAGTCTCTGGCCAGGTGTTAAGGTGCATGGAAGGAAGAAGGAGAAAGAGAAGAAATGTCAGTGCAGCGGGGACCTGGGATGACCAGTTGTAATGGGGAACAGAAGTCAACAAGGCCACTGGAACCTCAGTATTTATTGATGGAGTAAAATGGTGAAGGGATTATCAGGTGACTCGTGGCAGTGGTGATTTTAAGCTAATCAGGATCTTGCCTTGGAGCATCTTTAGTGTTAGAAGTCTTAGTGTGTTAGTGTTAGTGCTAGTGCTAGTGCTAGTGTGTTAGTGTTAGTGTTAGTCTGAGTCTTAGCCTTAGTTTTAGTCCAAGTCTGAGTCTGAGTCTTAATCTTAGTCTTAGTTGCTGGGAGAAGATGGTGCCCTCCTAATAACATAATGGGAAATCTCTAAAGGGTGTTACCAATAATCCTAAGCCTCCGTTTATTCCTTAGGAATGTGTGTAAAACTACCCATTGTGAATTTGTGGTCCCCAACATTTCCAACATTTTATTTTTGTAGTTGGAGCAGTTGAAATGGTGCACAGCCTATGATGTCCATCTTAGAAACAAATATATTCTAAGGAGTTTGTGGGAGGCTCTATCTCATCACCAGCGTGTGAGCCTCCTGAATTGTCTTCTATAGTTTTCCCCATGTCATGGGTTGTATCCTACATGGATCCCACTACTTTTGGTGTCAGGTTTTTCTCCAGGGTCATCTTCAAGAATACTCATGTATTATAGTGGGAGCAGTGAGCTTGATTGTTATAATTTTATCTGGATATCAACCATTTTGAAATATAAACTAGAGCCAGAAGACTATTATTCCTTACCAATTATTGTACTACTTGAATTCCTGTAGACTGTTTATAGAAAACAAGTATAAATTATGAAGAAAACTTGAGATCAAAAGCCATATAAATATTTTAGCATGACATTTGTAATGACGTCATTTTTGTAACATACTTAAATCTCCAGTTTGGTATAGAATAGCCTTTTTAGTCAATCATCTCTATCTAGTACATAAGAAGCTCTGGGCTGGGGGTGTGGCTCAGTGGTAGAGCTATTGCCTTGCATGCACAAGGCCTTGAGTTTGATCCCTAGCATGACAAAACAGAAAAAGAAGCCCTCACCTAATGTGTTGTCCTTTAATGAGATGTCATTGAAGAAATGTATGATATTGTCTGGACTGTTTAATACTGAAACATCTCCAAAGACAGTAAAATATATGTAACAAGACACCATGACCCAACCCTTCTTTGATGTGTTATCTTATGTTGGTTTGACATATTACAAGTAGCTGGAGCACAAGAGAAAGGCAGATATCTG